GTAGTACATTGTACTGTTGTTTTTAGAGCCATTATTGAACTTACAACGCTTTGAGTCAAGACACTGGATCCAGCCAACGCTTTTATCAACTGGGCCAGGTCTTTGAGGACATGAGTGCATTTTTTTTTTTTTTTTACTTATAAACCTAATGTCTCAGTAACACTTTTTTTAGTAAAGCTCATATTGTAATTTCGTTGTTATTGCTTTTCTCTTGTACTCCGTATCATTGGTTCCCATATTGTATTCATTTCCATGCTTGGCCCGCTTAGGTTATATTTGTGGCCTAGCATATGTGCTGATTCCTTAAGTTTTCGTATTTTCCTGTGATGTTCTGTCTGTTATTTCAACCTCATCCAACAGTGTCACTCCATATGGGATCAGCCACGCCTGATGTTTCTATTTCCCTTCGTGTTAGGGCTTTACGATGTTCGTGCAGTCTCATATTAGTGGGGGCGGCCTATTTCTCCTTTATATTTCTTACCACAGCTGCACGAGATGGCGTACACACAGTTCTTAGTCATTTTCTCCTCTATGGGGGTCTTAGAAGAGGTGTCTGAGAAGTGTCGAACTACTTTTGAAGGTCATCCTGATGTAACTAATTACAATACCTCATCTCAGAAATATTCCAAAGCTAGTTCTCTCCTAACTTCCCAATCCTAATGTCGATCAAAAGGGACATCGGTTCTTCATTAATAACAACAGATGTCACAGTAGATAAACGCAAAAGATACCAAAAATGAACACAAATATTTCATTGTCCTCGGATTACGACAGAGTTCCGTTTCTATAATGCGTCGTAAGCGATTTTCCCAGAATATGTATTTCATTTTCATTTGTCGACCGCAGTCGTGATCATCAATCCAATGCCAGCGATCCTTTCCTTTAGATGTATAGCATATGCTTCACCAGGGCTACATACAGTTTTAAATTGAGAGAGTTTTTCTCCTAGATCAGTTGCCAGCCAAGGCTATAGAACCTAGTCCGTTAAGGAGTCAACCGGAGTCGGAATCATCGAGTCAATGCGAGCTATCCTTTCGTTAGCTGCATAGTATGCACTTCGCCAGGGTTACATAGAGTTTTGAATTGAGAGATTTCTTTCTCTTAGATCAGTTGCTACCCAAGGCTATAGAACCCAGTCTGTTAAAGATCCGACCGTAGTCGGAATCATCGAGTCAATGCGAGTTATCCTTTCCTTAGCTGCATAGTATGTGCTTCGCCATGGCTACATACAGTTTTCTATTCAGAGATTTCTTTTTCCTAGATCGGTTTCCACCCAAGGCTATAGAACCCAGTCTGTTAAGGAGTCGACCGTGGTCGGGATCATCGAGTCAATGCGAGCGATCCTTTCCTTTAGCTGTATAGTATGTGCTACGCCAGGGCTACATACAGTTTTTCATTCAGATTTACTGTCTCCTAGACCGGTTGCAAGCCAAGATTAAAGAACCCAGTCTGGCCTGCTATTTACCCATAACTGGGTCGGGGAGAAGAAGAGGATTCGTATCTTTCTCAAGGGTATTAACACGTAATAAGACTGGAATTCGAACTTGGCTCTCCGATTTCAACAATACGGACCGCTATGCATTACACCATCCTACATCCTCGTAGATAAGCACTTACGTCACTCATCCACGGTAATGCAATAGTAAAGTAATAATCTAGGACATAGCAATGCATTTCTTTGGCATATGTTGACTTAATTATGACTAAAAAAACACACGGAGGACATATATATATATAAAGCATATAATGAAATGAAATTAAAATAATATAATGTCTAATTTCAATTCCATGGCAATGGAACGTAACGTTATGCACACTGTTTTTCTCTGTTCCTTTACCCTTCCATATGTTCCGTGAGTATCAAATTTTCCAACCCCACTTTCCTCATTATATACCCTAGATATTTCAGTTGCCTCTTTCTGATGTTAATTATAAATGCTATTTTGTTTCCATTTTCTCTGAAACGTCGACGTTTGTTCCATGGTATTCTGAGCATCCTTCTGTAGAACCATATTTCTGTTGCTTCAGGTCTACTTCATTGAGAAGATTGTCCAGCATTCACTGGCATAAAGGAGGAGCGAAATGACATAAGAGTTCAATACATTTTTCTTTGGTTTCTACTAAGTTTTCATCTATCTTCATACATTGCTTAAATTCCGGAAGGCATCTTTCGCTATTATGCGCCTTCGGCTTTCGATGTTGCACTTTCTATCTTCTCCAGGTACCAAAGAGAATAGCTCACCAGAACAATTGCCTTGAAAATGTTTATAAAAATGGCAACTGGGGAAATCTGATTGTAGCCGAGATGCCAGATAAGAACAGGTAACATTGCAGATTCTTCTTTTTATTTTGTCGAGAATTCAGAATCGCATAAGAAAGGAAATTATCTGAGAGACACCTTTTCTGCCTTTCATCAGCATGGATGCTAACCCCCAAGAGAGTTACTGGTTTTACCCTCACGGGCTAATGTTTTCAGGTTGAATGACTATATTGAAACAATTTCTAGGTCAGCTGCGAAGAATTTTTCTCTCTTGAATCTATCTTTGCATTTGCCTTGTGCTTAGAATATTGCTGCCACATATGGTCCGGAGCTCCTGCTTTACATTTAACGATCCTTAATGAAATCCAAAGAAGAATCCGTAATATTGTTGGTCTTGATCTGGCATCTCGGCTTCAGTCACATTCCCACTGTTGTAAGGTTGCCTCCCTGTGCTTTTTCTATAAATACTTTCATGGTAATTGTTCGGATGAGATTTTCGCTATAGTATTGTAACTAACGCGGAATAAATACGCTCTTCGCTATAGTATGAATTTAATTATAGCAGAAGACTAGATCTCATCATTTTATACATGATTTGACTAAACGTTACCGTAAGTTCTATGCTACTATTTTTCTCCTCACACTTCTCATTTGTGTCACTCTCTTCCGGCTCCATACTTTTATTTTTCTTCAAATATTTAAATGCAATGTTAATCGATATCTCCTGTCATCTTGATTACTCTTCATTTGTTCTCGCTCCCTGGTAATGTTTCTGTTTTCTAATTCTTACACACCGAGTAACCCCCCTTTTTCTTAGAGGCTTAACTGCGTTGCTTGGGGGGTAAACTTGCTTAAAAAAGACATTATTGTTACATCTAACAATTTCAGTTTTGTAATTACGAGACCTTTACGCTAATCTAGTACTACGGTTGAATTCATAAAGTCTGGTTAATAAAGTGAAAACAAAATGGCTGGAACAATACACTTGGTATCAGTACTTCTGGAAAGTATTTTATTACATTTGTTTGGAAAAAAAATTCTAAAAAAAGTCTGTGGCAACGAGCGTCAGCAATTTTGGCTGGTTTCTCAATCACTGATCTATAACCACTTAGCGACATCACTCATATTTCTACTCGCAAGAAGGAGTGTTTTGAATGTTGGATCATCGACAAAATGGCCCCCACCAAGGTCAATTTTCTAAGCACAAGCCTATCGCTTAAGACATATTAAGTCTTCTGAAACATACTTCATTCTCAATTCTTCATCATCGTCACGTGACCCGAGGGTAAGCAAAAACATGACCTGCAATCGTTTATCAATATTGTCAGACTTGATGCGATCTAACCTGTGGCCTATGACCCTTTTATTTTGAAACTAGGAGAAAACTAATTTCGGCTACTTACATTGTACGGAATACCTGAAATGAAAGAAAAATATTTTGTACGGAAGACTGAAAGCGTTAAGAATATGATAAAAAGCGTTTATCACGCATATCGCAGTTATCAAGGTTGAGAACAGTTGTAATAGTTGTTTATAATGCTTTGATTGTAATAGTTTTAATATTTACAATGCTTTGGAAGAGGAATATATGTTGAGCAACTTGGAGCGAGAGTGAATTATCAAGAAGAAAGTAGGAGGATGGGGGAGAACTTTCTGTCAGTACCTCTCAGAATTGTACCAGAGATCATCAATTTTATTTAAAAGATAAATCAACACGTACCCATGTACCCCAATTCTGGTACGCAAAATGATCTCGCTTAATTTATAGACCTAGATGATCAGTAATATACAGTGAACTGAATTGATTATACAGTTACGTAAAAAAAAAAAATAATTTCTTTGCATTCTATATATGTCTATATTTCTGAGATGTATTATTTACACTATTTACAGTGTTCGGACAGTTGTCCTCATCTTTGTTGCCATAATCACGGCGTTTCAGCCGTTGGACACTCCGGCCTTCTTCAGGTGACTGGAATTCCGAACCGAACCCTTTATTTCATCTACCAGAGTAGATTGTTCTAGTTCCACGTACCATTCATCTTGCAGATATCTCAGAACCAGTTATTTCCCTTTAACTCAACTTTGCAAGTTATTGTTCACCCCTACTGTAGTCAGGTATTGAACTATTTGGATCAAGTCATTGGATTACTATACTTGATTGAAGTAAGTCAGGGACATAACTCAGAGAGTTGTGAGTTATTTGACTATTTATCAAAAAGACAACATTATACGATTTCAGCTTTATTATTAACGTTGTTATCCCTATTTACTTCACCAGCTTCATTTGGCGCCGCTCTGTGGTCATCACTCCCTCCCTCACAATTTGTGGTTCATGCTGACATTCAAGACAGAATAGAGCACTAGCTTACCGATTTTTTTTTCACCGCGGATGTTGAGGTTACCCAGTCCCTCCTCTCAGAATTAAAAGAAGCGGGACTCACAAAGCAGAAGCTGAATTCAGTTTTCCTCTATTCTAGTTACCAACCAAGGCTATAGGAACCAGTCTGTTCTGCTATTTACCGATAACTGTAGGTATGCAGTATTTGAATTCAGAATTTTTCTGTCTCCTAGACCGGTTACCAAACAACTATTTACCCATATAGAAGCAGGTTTTGAATTCAGAGTGTTTCCTTCTCCTAGACGGGTCACCAACCAAGGTGATAGAACCTAGACTGCACTGCTGTGGCAGAGAAGATGGATTCATTTCTTTTCTCATTCCTCAGTCTGAGTTGTAATCTATTACTCCATCGTGCCTTCATATAATTTACTTATATATACATACACACACACACACACACACACATATATATATATATGTGTGTGTGTCATATATATATATATATATATGTGTGTGCGTGTGTGTGTGTGTGTGTGTGTGTCCTTGAGTGGATAAAGGCGTTAGTTAGATCCAGTGACAGGACCCAAAGAGTGTGAGTTCAAGACCTGGTTAAGTCAGTGGAGATCTTGGAGAGGGGAATTACATGACTTTCATTATACATGGCACGTGGAATTAGAACAATCTACCCCAATGAGCGAAATAAAGGGTTCAGTTCAAGATTTCAACCATCTGAAGAAGGCCGGAGTGTACAACGGCCGAAACTTTGTAATAAATATGGCAACAAAGATGTAGTCAATAGTCCGAATAATGTAAATAGTGTAGGTAAGCCTTAATCACAGAGATTCAGACATATTGCCTTGTTTTTCATATTTTAAACGATTCCTTATTTTTTTCTTTTTGCAGTAGTTGAGGGCCTTTAGACTCCCGGTAGAGTGTAGATCCATAGCCTCCCCACGATGATGTTGCTATCATGGTTTCCATAGCAGGCAGTTTTCACCCCCAACAGGTTTTGAGTTCAATTTTTTCTTCTCCTAGACTGGCTGCCTATCAAGACTAGAGATCCCAGCTTGTCCTGCTATTAAATCCCAGGTAGAGATGAGACAGACTCGTACCTCTCCAAGGATATTTTCGTAAATCGGACGCAACTCTCTTAAATGGGATTTGAATTCAACACGGAAAATCCCCCTTTCAGCGTCGGTAGGTGATACGTTACGCGCGCATTATTTTTGCAGTAGGCGATGGCGCAATTACATCAACGTTTAAAGATATTCAGAGGCAAAGAATCCTAGAGAAGAGATCATCGGATTCTATAAAGATTGAAACGTTGTTGCAAGAAGAATCTATATATAAAATTCAGTGACTGCTGTTAGTCCCACAGACCCTGTAAAATAAGCATCGATCGTAACAGAATTTAAAGGAGAAAATCAGACAGGTAAGGAGATAAAATGTACAGTTGGTTTTATTTGTCTATGTAGCATCGTACAATAAATTTTTATTATTTAACATACACAATACCCCACTATTTTAAAAACAACGATTAAAATAGCACACACTTATTTAATAAAAATGCTATATTGTTTTTTGCATATTTTTTTTTTTTGAGTTTTTATATACAAGAATGCAGTGTACAGTTCGCTCTGCATTTGCGAGAACTATAAACAAATGACAAGGTCAAACGCTTCAAAAATATGGAGTTTGGCCTCAGAAAAAAAAATATTTACATATGGTTAGTTGTATGTTTCTTGTTCAAGTAATGCTAAGAATTTATTCTTTGCTGTTAAAAAGGAAAAGAAAATTCTTAAGTACTGTTCTCCCTGAAAACCTGTAAAATTAAAAAAAAAGAAATTATTAAAACGCGAAGTAGTTTTTTTTTTTTCAAAGTATTTTTCCAATCAAATCAGCTTATTCAAATTTCATCGATTTGCTTGCGAAATTTTACGAAATATAGAGTTTGTAAATCTTGACAAATTTATTAGCGATAAGTTCAAAAATAGTAAATACTGCGAAGATTTTAACATGCATCAGCGTGTTGCCAAAAAATTCTAGTGCATTATAATTTTGTATATTACGCCTTATATATTTATATATATATATATATATATATATATATATATATATATATATATATATATATATATATATATATATATATATATACGTCAATACTTTATGCATATTTTCGAATTCAAGTTGCTCATGTATTGATGTTTCCTTTTTTATCTGAATTTTTATTACATTTTATAAAATTTTATATTTGATCCCAAACAAACTTTGAACATGGACGCAATGAAAAAAAAATAGGTTTAGAAAATCATTTTGAATTAAATAGAGATTATATCATCGGAATCCCATTCAAGCCGAAAGTGTGGAGCACCCTGTGAGGTTCGAACTCACTACTCAGTAGTAATCGATCTAGCGAGACAGGCATGTTAAGATTGTAGTGTTCGGAGAAGCATCCTCTTGGAAGTTGGTTCCACGAGGCAGTGGTTTTGGGAAAGAAGCTACTTGAGTAGGATTCCGATAAACGTTTTTCTCGGTTCTGCTATCTTTCAGATCCGTGTCAGTAACCTGCCAAAGAATATACTCCTGTCTTTATTGAATATCTATGCGGATGACACAACATTTTAGAGGTGCGCCTCTAAAGTCTGGATCCTCAGGGCCTAGTAGCGGATCCCTTCTTTGACTTTGACACGGTGGCTCGAAACTATTAGGTTGGTGCAAAAATAATGATGTAATAATGTCGTTTTTTGACGTATTTTTTAACGTCAAAAAACGACATTATTACGTCATTATTTTGCACCAACCTAATATAAGGAGTATTTACTTGACCCCCGCCCACTGAGTCGGGTTGTGACACAATGTCAGTTTTTAACGTGGGGACCCGAATGTTTTCACTCGGGCCGCTGGTCCAAGCTGGTCTTAGCTGGTCATAGCTTGTCCAAGCTGGTCAGAGCTGGTCTAAGCCAGTCATAGCCGTGATACCACCAACCCAGGAACGAACTCCTGTGCCAGGTAAGTATGCCAACCTAATATAAGGTCTAGTTTGCAAAATTCAAGAAATACCAAACTCAACTAGCACCATGCCTCCATAGCCGAGCAGATACTTAACGTTCACCTATCATTCTGGATGGGGAGTTTACTCAAAGACATTCCTTGTTTTGAACATCTCCCAGGACAGGCTCACCCCAGACATCGACTGCTTTGCAAAATTGAGCGATATGTAGAGTTTCTAAATCTCGACAAAAATGTTAGCGATAACAATACTAAATACTGTGAATATTACAAAAAAATTCTAGTAAAAGTAAAAAAAAAAATATGAAGCAATGCTGATGAAATATATAATTAGATGAAAAGTGAAATTCTTTCAGTAATTTCAAAGAGAAAAAAAAATCCTTCCACAAACCGCGGATTATTTTCTTTGTCTGTGAGCGCGAACAAATAATTCAAATTTAGAAAGTCCCATCTGCCAGGAATCAGCTTATTGTATGAAGACTGTATTTGACATTCTGTCAAACTTTATAAAAATGTTTAATCACTCGAAGCCAATCTTGAAGAAAACAAAGTTGACACTTCGACGTCAAAACTAAAATATTAAACATATTTTCTGGTTAAAGAAAAGGTAAAATTATTTCCAACTTTCAGTAAATACTATTTGAGGATATAATTTTCCCCATAAAAATGTTTTATTTTAAAGATGTTTTAATGCTTTTTTTTTCTCAGAATTTATTTTGAAAAATAAAGAGATTTACTTGCCCCTCCCCGAGTCAGGTTGTGACACAAGGTCGGTTTTTAACGTTGGATCCCGAGTGTTTTCACTCGGGCCGCTGGTCTAAGCTGGTCTTAGCTAGTCATAGCTTATCCAAGCTGGTCAGAGCTGGTCTAAGTTAGTCATAGCGTGATACCACCAGCACAGGGACGGAGCTCTGGGGTAGTTAAGTATCCGAATGAGTATACCCCTCAAGAGAGGAATTTCCATACTATTTTTTTTTTGAAAGATAAGATGTATTGTCGGAATACTGCGAAGATTGCGAATCTGTGCATTTCCTATGATCGATAAGCGTGTTAAATTCAAATCTTGTCTAATCTGTCTTGTTCACTTTCGCACAAATATCCTTGAGAAAGGTATTGTAAAATTAGGATGGTGTATGCTGAGGTTGCAGGAAACATTTAACTGCGTGCTCTCCTAAGAATTACAAGGTAACATAGAGAGAAAGGAAAGAAACGGGAGGAAACCAATTAACACCGCTTTAGAAACCACGACACGCCGGGCGACACGCCGGGCAACACGCCGGGCGACACGCCGGGCGACACGCCGGGCGACACGCTGGGCGACACGCCGGGCGACACGCCGGGCGGCACACTGTGCGACCCGCCTGGCGGCACACCGTGCAGCACGCAAATTGCATTATAAAATCCACCACGGGAACGTCTTCACAAGACACCGAGCCTCGCCCACAGGCAGTTTTCCAGTTGCTTTTTACTGACATGAGACAGTTGACCATGTCCCGGGTATGGACAAGTTGCAAATCTGAACATGCCAAACTGTTATGTTGCTAACGGGGAAAATCTGGATGTATAGTATATTTGCATGCGACTGGGATCTCTTTTGCGTCTGTATTGACTCGCGTCCGACACAAAAGGAATGAATCCTTCTCCTCCCACCCCACTCATGGGTTTAATGGCAAAATATTTTACGTTTTCCAGGTTTGGATGGAAGCCAGTCTCGTATAATATCATCGCTGAATTCAAAGCAGTGTCGAATGTAAAAGGAAACTACTCTATAATCTTTCCTCAGAAATCTTTGCAATTCACTGTACAGAGCTATAATTATCTCTGCCCCGAAGGGATACAGCATTTACAAATAACTAAATGAAAACTTTCGCACAATTTTAGTTAGCATACTACGCATCCATTTATCACGTTAAGTAATGGTAGCGTCCTGTTTGGTAAAAAATAAGTCTTTTTAAGCAGCTTCTGGAATCGTTCAAGAGTCCATTCTTTGCACTCTCCTCTGTAGGCATGACAGATGAAGTTGGAATTTGAAATAAAAGTTTCTCTCTCTCTCTCTCTCTCTCTGGTTCTTGTGTTGTCTTCTGATCTCTAACAGTTCGTTTCGAATCTTCCCGCCTTTCATATCTCCTCCTTGAACAGGATGGCACCAGCAGCCGTGATAGTTACTAGCTGTTCCCAGCTACCGGAGTCTGATGCCTGTGAGTTTCAGGCATCTCTTGTAAAATGTTCTTGGAGCGTAGTGCACTGTGTCCTACCTTGTCCCGTGGCCTCCTTAACTGTAGATGATGTCTTTTATTTTTTTTCATTTTTATTATTATTGTATTTTTTTTTACCTGCGCAAGACTTTTCGAATCTTCAATCTGGCCAGTCATTATTGAATTGTAATAGGTCACTTTTTCGGGTTAATTTTTAATTTTTTTTTAGTATAAATTAATAAAAGAAAGTATATTTACAAGGGAGATAACTCTATATGTATTTACTTTTAATTTCATCGTCGCTAATCAAAATAGTACTTCATGGAAGATATTTTAATTTCCTATTTAAATTTTCTGATGAATCTTAATTCTTAATAATTGAAAAAGCTCATAGCGAGTTCTACGACAATAAAATATCCGTAGAAATTCCACTATCGTATCCTTAAATATTTGAGCTTAATAAATTGTAAAAAAAAATATTACAATAACAATCATAAATATTGAATGCTTGTCGTTATTTTAAGTGGTTCGAAATGAAAAGATTTGAAATTGTCAACTCTTTCTATTTCACTGAAGCTCCTGTTAAGCACTCATATCCCTCTTTCTCTCTTTCATTTTCTTGCTGAAACCAAGTAGTGTCTCTCTTTTCACGCGATCAAAACGGAATAGTCTATTATTTCTGAGGTATTAGCAGGAAATGTTAAACATGTTTATCTTTTCTTTTTTCATTCTAGCCAAACCGAGGCCTTTCGAACATTCCTCTCAATAATAATTTAACAGTAATTCAGCAGATGATGTTATTTCATTTAATTTATTAGAATTTGATTTTTGACGATTGCTTTACTAGGTTTTTGTCGTTTGAGACTGTGCGTCTGAAAAAAAAAACACTTCTATCGCTGTTGCGATATATAAACTCTCGGCTTTTTGTGATCAAAGTGTAGTATTTGTTCTTATCAGCTTAATCTGATTCTCTCTCTCCCTGTTTCTATCTTCGCTTCTTTTTATCTTTTATTCATTTTCCCAGATAACTTCTTTTCCCCACCTTTCCACTCGATCAAAATGCGAAATAGTTCAAGAAATAATGGTCCTGTTAAATAACCTTGTAGCATACATACGGACGATAATATGTATGTTCCCATTTACATAAATGCAGTATTAAATACTTTATGTTGGTCTGCAGTTAGAGATTCGTCTCCAGTTGTGCTGGTCAAGCTGTATGCCTCCGTGCAGAGAGGATCCCCAGCCGAAGCTATTTTTATACGGGGTCTACGCGGAAATTTTGGCCGAGCCTACGGATACCACCCTCGGATACCCCACATTTAATTCGGCCTTGTGTCACATCTGACCGCCTAGGGTGGTTGGTAGATATCCTGCACTTTGCGATTCGTCACCAGCTGTTTTGGTCAAACTCTCTGCTTCTGGGCAGAGAGGATCCCCAGACGAGCCTATGTCGAAGGGAAGATTCAGCTACCCGACCCCATTTTATATGGGATATACGGGGAATTTTTGGCCGAGCCCACGGGCTCGGATACACCACACTAAATTCGGCCTTGTGCCACATCTAACCGCGTGGGGCGGTTGGTAGATATCCTACAGTTGGATATTCATTGTGGAATTCACTTGACTCAAATCTAGCAGTTGACTACTTCTTCGCGCCGCTGGCGTATCTTATGTGTTTTTCGTGCCCTATTGTCGTTCATTATCAACCTCCGTGGGATTATTCTATTCAGTAACCTTCCTTAGGTTACAACAATAACGAAAGGAGATAATAATAATAATAATAATAATAATAATAATAATAATAATAATAATTATGATTGAGTGCACCGATTTAACTCAAAAATAGTGACATAGAGTGATTAATCACTGATATATTGTGTCCTTTTGATACAAGGATAGAATAAAAAGAAGATAATGTATTCAATTATGAACAGTTGAAGTTTGAACTTGAAAGGCTTTAAATGTTGAAGTTATATCATTCATCATTTGTGCACTTGATAAGATGGCAAAAAGAGGAAGATACATCATCTATGACCATTGAAGTGACAAGGCTTTGCATGTTGATGAAGATCCACATCTAAGCAGTTGTCATTTATACAATTTGTATGGTGAAAAATTAGAATGTCGAAATGAATAAACGAAATCGACCTTGATTACCCCTTAGCAACAGGATGAATAGCAACATTTGGGAAAATTAAATAAACTTCAAAAGTCCTTAATATAATATCTTTCTTTCTCAATCGTGATAGTCCATATTTAAATGAGGGTATGTATACAATCCTCATACCCGCTTCTCGGCACCATTCTTTATTTCAAGCAGCCATTTTCTTCCCGACATCATTAGAGAACTTCTGTACTCCGAGTCCCTAATTCGTGGGATTAAACACAGAAAGTGTTATTCAAGTTGCTTAACACGAGAAGCTATATTTTGCTGATTCGTGTAGTCTACCAGTTTTCTCTAAAAAACACATCAGTCACATGTCAAATTTGCTGTATACCTTTTTTTTCTAATAACTAAAAAATGACAAAGACTTTTGGTCACCTTGTATTGATCTCAGTGGACACTGAGATCAACACCAAGTGGTGACAGTCGGTTTTATCCTTCAACGCCATGTTCAGGTCACTTATATATATATATATATATATATATATATATATATATATATATATATATAACTTCACAGAGATTATCTTACTTCTTACATTCAAATTTACTGCCACCTCTGTTACGTATTTAGAAGAGTGCCGTAAGAATCTTGAAGCATCGAAACGCTATTCGCACCCAGAGACCTCAGAGCGGCTAAGAACGAAGAAGAAAAATATTCTTTTGTTGACGGATTCTATGAAGTAGGGTTAGGCTCTGAGGAGCTGAAACTCGTGACGAAACGGAACGCAACAAAAAAATGATCCCACTCAAGCGAAAAAAAGGTTCTGGGAAAAAAATACGTTGTTTTGTCTCTAAAGAAGATAATGATCTGGTGAAAGAACATTTTGCATGAGTAGCTCCATCCGTAAAATCAAACGTTGAATTTTAAACTGAATTAAATACTGTTCACATTTAGACCAAGCATCTGACATCCGGATACAAACAGGTTTGCCAGATCTCACCTATCTTAATCCCTTTTGAGGCATGAGGGACGCCTTTCTAGCCAAGTGTGTGGTCTTCTCCGTCGTACTGAGTTGTCTACCAAAATCAAATCCACGCGAATGGCCACGTTAAACTTCTAACCAGGGGTAAAGGGAGAAAGGATGACGATCCTGATGCTCGCAAGCGAGCGGGTGCCGCCGACGAGGCCAATTAGATCGATTAAAGGCACTAATCCATGACAAGTCTGGGATTGCCTAATCAGAAGGGTGTCCTCTTTGTTATACCGGAACATACCTATTCTATTGTTAATAGACTCTCCCACATATAATAAGTAGTAGTAGCAGTCGCCAGGGAGCTCAGTGAGTTGAGTCAGTCAGTCGATGTCGGACATTAAAGTATCAGCCACCACAACTAGATTGCTGCGTCATTAACTATTATATCAAGTTCCTAACGTTTTGTACGTCGAACCTTTTTAGGGCCGACTTAGTGAAATACAAGCCTCCACTGTGAAACTAATCTACAACACTCTTCCATCGGGACAACGCCATGTCTATTTGGAGAAATGGTAGAAACGGACACAGCTCGTCAAGAGCGTCTTACTACATACTACCCATTAACCTGACTTTGCAGCTTTTTATTACCACTTATTTCGATCTCTATAAAATTATCCTTATTCAAAGAACTTCATTTCTGTGGGAATCTGTAAGAGCCAGATAGACACCAATTCCTGGAGGACAGAATCACGAAGCTATCTCAAAGAAGGTGAAGCGTAGCGAGACAGAATGACACATATGTGGTTGAATAAATCTCTATAGAAAGATATTTGTATTGCCTTTTGGATTCACTTAAAATGACTTTGTTCCGAACCAATAAATTCAAAAAGCAGCAGCTGAAATTTCAAGAATGCATAATGTGGAAAGACAGCCTAGGAAATTTAATACCCACGAGAAATATCAACGATAAAAGAATCAGGTGAAAACAAGTGCAATTAAAGGTAACCATTTAGAATGGTAATTTACCAAACATGATGTGGCACGAGGCCAAAAGAATGGGGCATCCAATGAGTATCGAACTCACTATTTCGTTGTAACTGATCTAGCGAGAAACTATTACACA